GCCATTCTAATCCTTGAAGATATCGTCGAGAGGAATCTTAGGTCTTTTCGCTTTGCTTGCTTGCGGTAAAGTGATCTTTTTCTGTGAAGGCTTTCTTTTTAAACTCTTTCGCGTTCTTAATCCTCCACTTCCGACTTGAGATGCGATATGGTCAAGGGCTTGTTGCTTCACAGTTTGCGCTGTCTGTTGTAACCTTGCTCGAGCAGAGTCTTTCAGGTTGTTTCCTGCCAAAACATCCTTAGCAACGTTCATTCCTGTATCGAGAGCTGCTTTCCCCAGAGATTTAGCTCCGCTTTGTAGAAAAGGCATGGCTTTCCTAGCTAAGGATTGAAAAAAGGATCCAAGGCCATAGCCTACTTGTCCATAACCTCTTTGAAAACGTCCACCGTGAAACACCATCATGTGCCCAGCTCMACTTTGTTTCGTCATCTTATCGAAAGTAAGGGGATTGACGAAGTCTGAAATGTAACGTTATCACTACGCGTCCACGTTCAAATGGTACTTTATTCCCCGAGTCGTCGGTTATAARAACTTCCAAAGTTTCAAACTCGCGTGTAGTCAGTGGCATGTACTGAGGGTGTTCATAGTCCTTCGTAATTATTTCCCCAWCTTTGCCGCTTGCTGGGACGGTGCGTAGTAGAGGAGCTCTCACATCACCCACAATYTGCATATCCAATACATTRAGGTAGACATAGAGTGATTGGAGGCCAATATTYAGATCGGACACGAAAGACGCTTCGGTCGTCTTGTCAAGGATAATGTCACTACCAAATCCTAAAATCACCCCAAGGTCGTTCTCAAAACTCAGTTTCTTTCCAACACCTAGCTCCACTGTGACTTTCTGCGATCGATTATCTAACTTGAGGGAAATGCCTGTTACTCCATCGTCTGTGATTGCTTTATTTATGCTACTAATGACATCCGTCACACTCGTGTAGTAGCCTATTGGAATTATCCCCACATTCCAAAACCCCATACCACCGTTGTAATAAAACTTCTGGTTCTCCTTTCTAATGTTAAACCATGTGTGGGGAAAAGTAATGGATGCCAAACCCACCTCCCAAGCCCCTATCAAATCCATACGCTCGGGCAGTTTGACTTTGTACTCGGCCAGAGTGTYGTTTGGATATACATCCATAGAACTATTACTCGGGAGAGTAATGTAAAACTGACTGCTCGTCATGGTGGTTAGGGAAAAATGAGCACAAAACAGTCGTTTAATAAACTTTATTCAAAAATCGCTACTAGAAACCCAGCTTTTATATTTTTCTGGGTATCCTAACCATTTTACAAAATACTCTGTAAGTTTGCCACGTTTTCTCTTCTTCAAGATCTTTTCCATCTTATACACTTCTTCATCACCTCTAGTCTGCACTCTTTGTAGTTCTTGTTCGTAAAAGGTCCCCTCCAACTCATCTCCATCAAACTCTTTGACTTTATAGACAGGTGGATTTCGAGGAATTCGTTTAGAAATAGCAAAAAATTTCCTCGCTCCAGTTAGGTAAATATCCTTTTTCAAACAGTTTCTTGGACCTAGAAATGCGTACTTGGTCTCCCATCTTGAATTTATACGGGGGTCTCCTCATCAAGGTGTTTCCATAAAGACTTTTCCACACCTCATTTTCATTGCTCTTATTTACTGTTGATGGGCTTSTCATGATACTTCTATGGTATGAATTATTATACGCCCTTACGATTTCGGGTAAAACGTCTAAGTATTTCAAAGTCCCTTTCCATGTAAAGTACCGGTACATGCGCTGTTTCAGAGTTCTGTTAAAACGTTCGATGACACTCGCTTTTGTTTCGTTGAAAGTGTGATAAAATCCAATGTTCTTTTCTTTCAAAAAGTCCTGGAAATT